TGATAAATCCCCAGTACAGGAGTATATAGTTGATGACATGAATAATCATGACGCTGTGAGTCAGAGATATATATCTCTATCTGCATACAGTAAGTATAATCATCTAACAAATGATTATGTTGACTTTTTGCTATGAATAATCTAGTGATCATAGTTGGTGCTATTGTACATATCACACAATTCTTTTACTTATAAATTTATAATAATGGATCTTCTGATCATATTTAGTACTAGAATTGATGATATGATATTTACCTATCAGCAACATATCTCTCTTGATGACATGGTCATTTTGTCTGTAATGAAGATGTATGCACTATAACCTATAAAAAATTAGCGGCCCTTGGTCGCCCCATGGGATGGTTCTGGCTGGAAAAGACGCCGATTAAACTCCAAACCACCGGCCGTTGACCAAGATGAAAACTTTTGAAAAAAAAAAAAAAAAAAAAAAAAGGAAAAGCAAAAAAGAAAGGGAAAAAAAAAGGACAAGAAATAAATGGCCCGCAACCCGATGGCACTGTGCAGATGGCGCACCCTTTCTGCGCCGCAGCAACCCTCAACCGTTCGCCTTTCAGGGGGCCCCGGGAGAAAGAGAAGCAACACCGTTGTGTAACGGACGGAGATAGAAACCGATCCGCAGTTATGCCAAATACGCAAGGACTGAGGATGCCAGAGAGGATGTGTCCTGTTTATTTCCTTCATTCTGTTGCTCAGTAACTACGAGTTCATCCGTATTACTACTAATTACAAATTGTAAGTTACGATCATTTCAAGTTCTCACGATAGCCCCATTTGTCGCACCGGCCGGAAGGGGTCGGCACAGGCTAAATGCTAATTGATGTTACCCGAATACCTCGGAAGACAGTACTACGCAGAACTGTACAGGTGTATGGGATGGGATAGGACGGCCACCGATTCCATTCGACCTGTGAATTCCCGGAGACTTCAAGCGCTGACAGGACTGTGGAACTGGGTAGGGGGTTTCTATAAATTCGGTAGGCGGGCCCCTAACGGGTCATGTAGGTTAGTATTCAAGCAGCGATCCGGGTTTATCAGAATATCCGATAAATAAATAAAAGAAAGGGGATATTGTAAAACATGCAATCTTGATGTGAGGTTTTACCACTGCACCAAAAGGATCAATACTTTCAAGGTGGTGAACCTATCTTAAGATATAGTTTGCATGTTTCACAGATATCCGATACATCTGCCGTACGGGACGAGCAAGAGATGGATAAGTGGCGGTCGAATATATAACGCGCTGAGGCCTTCCTGGCTGAGAGATTGTATACGGAGCAGTGTACAGGAGAAGTATGCCGTAGATATAGTTACCACGCAGTGCCGGCGGGGATATCTTCAAAGAAATATACTGCATACAGCGCAGTACATTCTTCATTTCTTCTCCAGCCTGTACCGGAGAGAAGAGACCAACCTGGGAGAGACGGACTGGCAGACACTTTCATTCCTCCTTCTTCCTCCCCTACTCTTCGGCTGACGGGGACTGCGGTTCCGTCCAACTGTGCGATCCCTTCGTCGCCGGCCCGCGATCAACAGCTAATCCTTCCATCGTTACGCCACAGACGGTTTCCGCGGTAATGTGTGGAGGCGTATTTGCAAATAACCGCCGATGAATTTTTGCCATCGCTTTCTTCCCCTTTTTTGGTGTGCATTATCGACGGAGACTACTCCGTGTTGTTGCAAAAAAAAAAAAAAAGAAAAAAAAGAAAAAAAAAGAAAAAATGGAGACACAGGAAGAGTCAGTCCGACGGGACGATGGTCGGGCAGGGATCATCGACAACCCGTAACCGTAACCTCCCAGAGAGAAAATAATGCCCCGAGGGCTGGAGGAGGAAACAAACCTTGGACAAGCCACGAGTCAAAACGAATGTGACTGGAGCTGAGGCTTTTGAGTTGAAGGATTTGTCGTCGGCGCATGCTTGCAAAAATCATGGGTTGAATCAACAACAATCGACAGACAAACAAAACCTGCACGCACCGGCAACCACAAGAGAGCGCCGTACAAGAGTTATTCCGTACACCTACGCTGTAAGTAAGCTCAGTAAGATGGAGAGATAAGTTGAGAGTAAATCAACCATTCTGGCACGCCTCTTGTCCGCGTTGGTGCGGGTTTACTCTGCACGCGCCGTGACTGCCTCTTCCTTCTTGTCTCTCTCCCGCCCTCTCCCGCTCTCTCCCGCCCTCTCCTCCTCACTTCTCCCGCGCTGGAACACAGCTCCGTCCTGTCCCTGTGTCCGCCGTAGCCTGATCTGATAACGTCCCGGGATCTGGGGGATCTGTTGGCATCGTTGCGTTGGTCGTGCCTCCATTGCCGCTCGCCCCACTCTGTCTCCCTCCATCCCGAGCCGTAGCTGTGAGTTGACCGCGCTCAGTCTTCGATGGGACCCCGAAGATAAGGAAGCTTGATCCTCGATTTCTCTCATCCTCCAAGGAACGCCTGGAGGGAACCAGCCCGTATCGTCCAGCAAGTAGCCACCAGCACCATCTGCCAACCTGCCTATCTCTCTCTCTATAAAGTCTCTACTCTAGCCCGACTTCCTCGGTCTGCAAGTTGTAGTCCTCTCATCTAACGTGCACTCACTTTGTCTGGACTCTGTCTGTTTATCATCT